TGTGGGGTTTCACGTCCGAAAACCACGATATGATTATGAGAGACGCCGTAGTGGAGGGCACTGGAAACTTCGACCACTTGGGGTTCTTTAACGTACACCCAAATCAGCACACGTGCCTACAGCATTTCTGCCTCCATCGGAAATAGAGCCGGGATTTGATACCGCAACCTGCGGGTCAGCAGCCAAATTTCTGGTACTCTTGCTCCCCTATATGTGTGCAGTTCGGTTATAGTTATCTGGCTTGCACAGATTTTTAATGGCACCTGCCTTGTCCTGCTTGCTTTCATGGTGATTTTAACCTTCATAAGTTACATAGGTTTAACTCTCAAAATTGTTCAAGATGCCAATTTTGTGCACAAACTGTATAGTATAAAGGCAGCAGATATACATGCACACACTAATAAATGTACATTGAGAGCTTTCACTTGCAGTTTCTAAAGTTTTACTGTGCAGGAAGCATTTAAATCATAATTTCATAAGGACATATTAATCGATTATCTCTACCATTGAAAAGTGTGACAACCTAGTTATTTTCACTGTGGTAAGCATGCTGTTTTCTTTGATGTGGCAGAACTAATTTATACACTCATTCCTTCTATTATTCACATATGCATAACTTGAAGGATTGTGTGCCTTACATTTTCAGTTTCATTCTGTGTGTTATATTTCTTGTGCATGTGAACTAATGTGCTAACATGTGTCTCTGACATTATTTGTGCCAATTATTTTCATTTCCAGGTGCCTATGAAGGACACATAAGTTCTATGGCAGTGACCTTCGAAATTTACAGTGGTGCCGGAGCCTCAAGCAGCATTTCGCCGATCTCCACAAGGCGTTCATGATACAAACACAGCGCCACACTTTCACAGTGCTATGATTATTATTTATGTTTAAACATTTCGTTCTAAAATTGCTGTTACATTGTGTTTTGTTCCACCATCCTGTGGCTTAGGTGGAGCACGTGAAATTACGGTGTAGTCACCTCATTTGTGTACCATCAACACTGCAATGTCACCATTCACAGCTGGAGCATACAGACAAATAAAAAAATATATTGATTGTAGCAGGGCTGGTGTGTATAATAATGCTTCTCTATTGATAATAATAACTTTATAAGTTCTTTAGGTCTTGCATAGAACACTGCATTAATGTGTTGCAATGTAACCACCATTTGTGATCGCTAGCATGTTAATTTAGTAGTTTTGTAATGTATTTTATTTGAAAGGTAATTTTGCTTCCGCATCACGACAATTAGAAAGATGCCGATAATTCAATTCCTCATTAGGTAGCTTCTTAACACATTTGTTTCTTTCAAGCCTTTGTTTACTCATCAAGGCTGTTTCAGATAGCAAACATATTTCACCTTCATGCAACAGATTAAGAATGAAATATTCATATATATTTATACACAGTACTTGCTTTTGCAAACAACGTGAATGGCCAATTGCTTTTACTCGAGATCTAGGATGTCCATTTGATCTTTGCAAGATGAAGCAGATAGCTGCATAGTTTCTGCATTATGCTAATTTCCGTAAGCTGCTTATCGGGTAATTTAGCATGATATGGCACTTTCCGTAAGCTGCGGATGTGCGCAACTTTCTGCACGATGTGGCGCTTTCCGTAAGCTGCGGATGTCCGCATCTTTTCACATGATATGGCGCTTTCCGTAGGCTGCGCATGTTCGTATCTTTCCGCATGATGCGGCTTTCCGTAGTCCAATAATTGCGTATGTACGGATTCGTATATGCGGAACATTTCAGTAGGGTATATATATATATATATATATATATATAAATAAATATATATATATATATATATATATATATATATATAATTCAATGTTGATTGACCAGATCTATTTTGGTTTCATGATATTGAAGCTGGCTACTTATGGCTTTCTAAATGCGATCTTTCTTGTGCTTCAAAAATAGTCATTTTTTATTAGGCAAAAAAATTTCCTGAAACGTGCCTTTTTTCGTTAGGTCATTTACTAGAATGTTGAAAAATCTTGTTAGAGTGGTAGTTGACAGAATTTTACAGTTGCCACTTCAGTAATTCAGTATTTACTGGGCCCGGTGACTGCCCAAGAAGTCGCAGGTTTATTCCCGACAGCAGCGTTGTCAGGCCCGTGCAGATTTCTAGGTCAGTGCGCGTTGACGAACACCAGATGAACGCAGTTTCAGAAGCCTTTCACTGTGGTGTGCCTCGCGATCTTATAGTGGTTTTGGTGCGTATAAGGGCAAGTTTTTTAAAGATCCGGAAGTGTGATTTTCGGAGCCTCAATTTAATTGTTTTTGTAGTATAGCATTTGGCTAAGAGAAAGAACTCTTGCATGCCGGTGTTACAAGTGACAGAACTACTTTTTTCTACTTTGAAAACATTTTGTAAGACAATATGTAAGCAAAATTTATATATATAAACCTGAAAGAAACAAAAATCACTAAATAACTCCCGCGAAGGGTATAAGAGAAACAGGTTTAGAAGACTCAAAACAGGTAGTAGTTGTTTAGCAGAAGTTGCTCTACATTGAAAGGGAATATAGCATTAAAATACACAAAGTAAGAATAATTAAAAGCAAATCTTACTTTGTAAGGTAAAGCTGAAAAGTGTATTTATGCAGAGAATTCGTGTGAAAGTTGTAAAACAAACTCAAAAAATTATGTTGAAAGACAGAAAACTTCAAAACAAAAACCATTGTTTCATAGAAATACACGGAGTTAAGAATATTTGTTCTTTTTAAGAAAAACTCTTTACAGTGCCATGGTCAAAAAAGTAACATATGATGACAAAGTTCGTGCGTACAATGTCACGACCACAGCAACTCGAATTTATTGTGAAGCTTTAAAACGTACTTCAAAGTGAATTCCACGGCTACGTTCTTTTTTGGCAAGGTCGGCGGGCTCTGCAGATGTATTTTTCTGCTACACAGGCTGCAATGTGTCATTTATTTCGTATAGATCAGCGAAGGGTGAATGTTGGTCATCAAATACCTTCCCTTTTCTTTTTAAAAATTGGCGGGATCAAAATAAGATAACATCTGCAAGGACAGTTTTGTCTCCCTTCTGTTATACACCTGGTCGTTTCGCAAACGCCATTTTACGTGTAAATGCTCCGGTTCCATTGCACATGTTAAAATAATACCTACGCCACTCTGTTAAACACCTAAACATATTTGTAAGGTCTTATTTGTGGTTCTAACGCATCTAGGAGTTTACTGCTGTTTAGTTTATTAAATGACCATTACTTCCTCTTCTTCATCAAGTTATATGAAAATCACTTTTGCATGTATGCATATTTGTAGAAAGAGGTGAAATAACGAAAAAAAGAATGCGTCAGTGTTATTTGATCATACCTAATCTATCTCGCCCTATACTAGCTGAGGAAATAAAAGGGTACGTAACCAATTACAATTACAGTGGCTTGAAACGTGATCTGTGATGGACGAATTAAGCTGCCATTTTATTCCGATTGCATCAAATAAATATTTTCTTGGCCCACATCAACAGAGATAAGTTTTTTTAGCTTTAGCAGTCTCTTTTCAACAAGTTATTATCATTGTTTTGTTTTCCTCTTAGGCTGAGCAGTTCTGTATTGACACGCAGTCCTTCTGTTTTTGAATTTCCTTGATTATGCGAGCATGAGTAGGATACAGGAAGGAAAGTTGCGCAAATTCGAAGTCATGATATTAGTGGCTGAAGCATGAACACGTATGTAAAGCGCGAAGAACCTTTGATATGTTGATATGGTGACCAGGAATAAAAAGACCAGGAATATCCCGGAAGTGATGGTAAATATAAAGTCACTAGAACGCTTAACATCACGACTAAAAGATCCTGACTACCGAGGCGCGCATGACATGGCGCCAGCCACCACTGCACCTCGCAAAAAACGACTATTTCCTTCAAACGGCATTGTCCGCCGAACTCGTCCCTACGTATCTGCAGGAAAAACAATCGCAGTGAACTCGGACAATATACGGAAAGCAAATCATTTGCCTATAAAACAAGGCAGTCAATAAAATGCGCAAAAAAGTAGCGCGATTGTCCATACCGCGTTCTCGAGTCTGATTAAGCAGACTACAATTTTGCCAAAGAAACCCTACGTGCTGATTGATTGATTTGTGGTGTTTAACCTCCCGAAACCACCATATGACTATGAGAGATGCCGCAGTAGAGAGCTCCGGAAGTTTCGACCACCTGGGATTTTTTAACGTGCACCCATATCAGAGTACACGGGCCTGCACCATTTTCGTCTCCATTGAAAATGCAGCCGCCACAGCCGGGATTTGATCCCGCGACCGGCGGGTTAATAGCCGAGTACCTTAGGCACTATGCCACCATGGCGAGTCAAAACACTCTGCATGCTTCCCATAAATAGTGGAAAACCGGTCAACAGGAATTGCTAAGTGCTCCTGCGGCGGTTCCGCAATTGTGAAACAGAATTTCGTGAGGGATTTTGAGCTGGACCGATCACTAAACATGACCAACACATTTTGTAGATTAGCTCACGTTAGGTGTATCTTACAGGATAAGCAATGCACAGTGAGAACTTCCTACATCATAGTACTGTGCAGTCTGGCAGTCTGAATTCACTACACAAAGACCGCACTTTTGTAACAGCAATGAAAACTGCACATTATTAAAGTCTATTACAATAAAATATCGTAATGTTCATGCCCTCCTACCATTTCTTAACATGATTGATTCATTGGTGGCTCTGGTAGGTTGATGGTGGCTGTGATTAGTTTATAATGTCTGTAGTACTCTCAAAATCGATGGGTGGCGATAAATCGAGGTGCGAAATCCAATGTAAGCCAACACGTGCTCCAACTTCCGTAAAAACGAAAAGAGCAGCAGTTTTAGAGCACTTTTATTTTGCCTATGATTACAGAATCGTGCATTTGTACTTGAAATGATATCCTACTAGCCTGACGTGGCTTCTATTCAAAGAAAATAAATTATTTATATACACTTTTCAATATGAATTTTTTCTTGTTTCAGTTTGTTCGCCGGCGTGAGCGAATATGGACGTCCAAGACGACTCGTACTGGCGATGTTAAATGCGAAGTAGATAAACTTCTTTATTTTACAACACAGTCCGTTACAGTAAAAAAATGTGTGTTCCTGAGAAATCGTAGGTAAGCTTTGTGTTGTTGCTACCTGTCCTCGGCTTGACTCATATGTTTCTTGTTTGCAGAATCGAACTTCAAACAACTGGAGTATTTGATACAGACCACACGGAGCGGATGACTACATTACACAGAGGTGGGTATAAATTTCGTTTTTCTTTCGGGGTCTGAATAATACAATTACAATGTACTGGCAATATATCAATATGCCGCAAAGGATCTTACACCAAGCGAAATCAACGATTTAGTACAAGTGACGAATAAACTCATTATGTCTTTTGAATTGGATGATCTACAGAGCTCTCAGTAAGCTGTGCGCTTACAGCTTGATGTGTTTTGTTTCTCAGCCAATTGTAGACGAAGAAAAAGCAGGCATACGTACCCCAGAAATGACAACTCCATGCTGTCGTGGACATAGGCGTCAATCAACGTGCGTGTTTCTCTACTGTGCACGACGAGCTCACGAGAGAAACGATTCTTCCTACGCACGTATCGTAGACTCTAATTACTTGGCGAATGTATTTTCAGAGGAAGCCTTAGGCAGATCTTTGGAAACGCCTCTTAGTTCGTTACACCAACTAGCTCATAACTCTTCGCCCTTGGCGCATATAACTACTCGTACTGCACAACGCAATAGAAAGCACGAAGCAATAAGTAAAAAAAAAGCAGACTTCAAAGCCTCGCCCCGTTGTTGTAGTGTAATATAAATACAGGGGAAAAGCACAGATCTCCAATAACTTGTGAATTTTTGAAAGAAACTGGCTTTTAGGTCGCTGATAGCTATACTAAGCAAACGTTGGCTAAACGCAAGGTGCTTTGGAACTCTGCTATAAAGAAAAAAGAGGAGGGACAGCGCGTGTTTTTTTATTATGACAAAACATGCTATAATAATAAACCTTTTTTTTGAGACTTCACAAAAGACCGCCGAGTCGTGGTTAAACGCTACCCACATCCGTCAGTGCGGAGAGGCTAGGAGAGAAAGTGTGTGCCTGACAAAAAATACTGCACCACTTTATTCAGTTTAACTGCTTGAAGCCTGCTAAATAAAACTGGGACCTGGAATATATCTTAAAGAAATATCAACCACGCAATATCACAATTACTGAGACGTGACTAAATTCTAATATTCGAGACATTGAGTTAGTACCACCTGGTTACAAGATAATGCTTAACGACCATGAATGTCGAGAAGATGGCGTTTTTATTGCTGTCAAATGCTGTGTGGAAGGCATTCATTTTCAAGTAATCCAAGACGATGAGGACGTATGGGGCAACGTCAAGATTAGTAATACTTTTGTTCTTCTCTGTGCTATATACAGAACGCCTAAGAATACAGTTTTGTATTTGCAAGATATAAAGATACCAATACGTTGACTGGAATTCTTTTTACCGTACGTTCGCGAAACTTCACAATAGATTGGTTTATAACCAAGTTATAGGGGAGAGGAACTTATTCATGTCTAACATGCATTAGGTGCGCTTTGCATACTTATGATACATGTCGACGGCACTGCTATGTTTAGGCTAAAGACTATACGCCGACTTAACGCGAGAAGTCAGGCTCAACGACAGAGGTTCGTTTTGCTCAGTCAAAGGGAGCGCTTGGGTATAGTGTCATTAGTAAGGTAATCAGCGTCTTTTCTCTAAGTCCGGCGGAGTCGACCACAGCCATGGAATACAACTGCGAAGGTCACAGAAACAAGCATGCGAACTCAACCACGAAGATATCAGAGTACTTACTAGGAATACGCTATTATCATTTGTAGTAGTCGACAGCAGTCGAGAGCCAAATAACCTTGTGCAAAGATGAAGCAACACTACAAGTAGTCAACTGTAGTGGACGTGTAGCGTACACGTAGAGGTGGTAGCTTGTGCGAGCCAGTACTAAACACCACCACGAAAATTTCAGGCAGTAGTCGAGAGTAAGCCCGCCTTAGCGAAGAGTCAGTTGCTATGGGCCGGTAAACAACAACCATAATCAACAAATATTCAACAACCATGATCAGTCTACACTAAGTGGCGGGCAGCTCACTTTAGCCTATGCTACCGAACGCTAGGCAGCACCACCTCGGATTTAGCATTTGTTGTCCAGTACCGGCCCAGAAGTGGCAGGGTGCGCTTTCTCAACATGTAAGAACGAAAAAATAAACTATCTCCTCGAAGTGAACGCTGATGGGATGTGAAGCAGCAGTGGTGAACTCGGCGTTGAACCGGTTGAAACGGACGTCGACGCGGGTGCTGGAAGAACGGTTTGAAGTGAAACTTGGTGTAGTGTTTACTCTAGTAAATGTTTAATTATTTGCAAGGACACGAGAGGAGGACTGGATTTCATGCAAGTTTCACCCCAAGTAAACGAGCCGAAAGAGTGATATTCCGTCGAGCGTTGCGGGTGGTGGAGAGGGTGAACCGGGAGAAAAGTGTGTTGCGAGCAGACCGAGGGGCCAGCAGCGGCTGCAGTGAGGGAGAGAGTGACGTCAACGTGCTGCTGCGGCTTGACCTACTTGGCACCGCTCCAATAATTTCGGCTAAAGAATTGGTGCGGTGGTGCGGGGCAGCGTTACACAAGATAGTGAAATAGCTGCTTCGCAACTAAAAAGAAAGAATAGCAGGGAACATAGGAGGTCCACAAGCCATCTGCCTCGGAAGCTACTTACTTCTAGCGTTTGTGGTAATTTCCCACTACGTTCCTGTTTTGTAGATTTTCTTGGTGAGTCGTCACCTGTTAATGGAAGATTAAGCCAATTCACTGTTTTGCACCAAATGCAATCTCTCCCATAATGGTCGTAGCTCTAAGGTTGTCTGCTGAGCCTTAACGGCTCAGCAGAGAAGCTCGAGGCAGCGTCAGACAAAATTGAGCATATTGATGTAAAACGGCCTAAGAACTTCGTAATCTAACTTTGCCTTTCCTCAAAATGCCATCTGTCCTTCTACTTGAACGCAGCTGCAAGCCCTCTAGTTTGGCCCTATTCAAAACTTTAAAACAATTTTAGACTTATAGGCACAATTACGTGTTTCGTGATATGCATAGCTCTGTAACATTTGTGCAAATGTTAATCATTTATTCTGTTTAATATTTTCCAGGCATATTCACCAGAACTGAAACATTGCTCTTCCTGTCCCGGGACCGCTCCTGCGCTGTTATTAAGGTCGACTCGCTTACAAATTGTGCGTGTTTTTTATTCATTTTGGCGCTAAAAAAACAAGGTTATTTATTTGCTCAAGGTTATTAATTACAACTTATGAACAAATACAAGTCCCACCTACAGCCAACAAAGTCCAATCCACGCAAAATTTTTATGGCAGTTTCATTTATTTAAAATCACTTACTTCTGTGACATCAATGCCTTTCGCGTGTTTTCAGGTAGCTCGAGTGTTTCTCTGGGTGTTCCTTCTTCGTATCGCCGGTTTTTCTTAACACTAAAATGTATTGTAAAATGCCATCACAAGTTATAACAGCACTTCTAAACAAAAAGGCGCGTTTTAAGACAGAACGATGAATCAGTGTTTTAATAGCCAGCCTGGTGATAGAAATTTCCTTGCAAACATACCCTAAGGAGGCCTCATATCGGTTAAGAAACCACTTTGACATGTGTATTAAAGCAAGAGCGAAACGTCATACATTGTGAAATTCCTTTCGAATGGGTTATTGAGTGCTTCCAAGTCATTACAAAAGGCTGAAACATTATTCCACAGCAGTTGCCCCAGCATCAACCAACTGCACATAAGGCCTTGCAACTTTTTTGAGCATAGCACGCTTCTCCTAAGAATGCCGAATTATAGCAGCATGTGCACTTTTCCACTTCTTGAAAATTAGGATGGTTTATGAAGTGGTGGGCGACATGCGAAGTTTACTTGGAGCAGTTGACCAAATGAAGTTTCAAAGAAATGGCAGATCTCACGTTTTTGGGAATCGATTGTATGCGAAACACGAATGCGAAAGGTCGATATCTCACTTTAAAATGTGTGCAACGTTGCAACAATGACGTAAATTATGCTGTACATGACTTCCATGCCTTGATAATCATGTTTGGAGGTGCCGTTTACTTTCGCCGCCTGTTCACGTCACGTAATACCTAATTTTGTAAAGTTGGAGCTAGTAGAACGGCCACGAGCACGCTATTAGCGGAGCGTGGTGTCATGTTTTACATGACACGCACGGGAAGATTATCATGTTTTGACGTGTAATTTACCTGCGTTGTTCATAAACGTCCCGTAATACAAATTACGTTTAAAGAACCCCAGTTGGTCTAAATTTCCGGAGCCCTCCACTACGGCGTCTCTCATAATCATAAAGTGGTTTTGGGACGTTAAACCCCACATATCAATCAATCTATCAATCAATACAAATTACGTATATGTGGAGCTAGAGAATTGCCCGCGAGCGCGCTATGAGCGTAGCGTGTAGTCATGTTTTACTCGACACGCATATCATGATTGTCATGCTTAGACTTGTCATTTACCTTTGTCGTCTGTTCACGTCACCCGATACCGAATTTGGTATATGTTGAGCTAGCTAAACGGCTGCGAGGGCGCTATGAGCGTAGCATGTAGTCATGTTTTACATGGCACTCATAACATTATTATCGTGTTTGCAAATGTCGTATACACTTGTCATACATTGACGTCAAATAACACTAATCTTGGTAGATCTGATGCTAGCCAAACGGCTGTGAGCGTATCAGGAGCATGGTATGAAGTCATGTTCTCACATGGCACACATATCATGATTATCATGCTTGCACCAGGCATATACCTTCTTCATTCATTCACGTCCCGTATAACCAAATTTGGTGTATGTGACGCTAGCCAAACTACCGCAAGCGTACCTGGGGCTTGCCATGCAGTCATGACATCATAACATGAAAATCATGACATGCATGTCATCATTTCCACAATATAGTCTGTCACTTATGTTCACCATGCAGTCATTTTATACCATACTAGTTTAGCAAAATGTCATGTGGACGAAACCAACGCAAGAGCAGCAAGACCATGAAATGTATATCATGGTATTCACATTATATGTGTCGTAATTTTTATATTTGACTAGTCATACAGTCATGTTATGCCTCACCAAGTATCGATACCATTATCAAGACGGCCTAGGGAGTTAGAAGCCAAAGGCGGCTAGATAGATAGATTGATAGATACGCTCGAAGTAGCCGACATTTGCAAAGAATTGCTTCGCATTTGAAAGGCGTTAGAAGGACCACTCTGCCTGTTTTCGCTGGGGCTGTGCTGCGCGGTGCGCAAACAACTGGCTGTTTTTACAAGGAAAGCTTTTATTAGATCACAACTCGGGTCACACGCAGTTGTCCACCGCCGCGGCCGATGTCCGTAACCACATCGCGCGGAAAGACACAGTCGGGCTCAAACCCGAGTCTGCTAGGTGCCAGCCCAGTACTTTACCACTGAGCCATACTGGTGCTTGTGAATTGTTGTCAAACTTGCCTAGGGCAGGTTTGATGTTGGGAAATGAATCGCGTTAATACGAATTATAAAGCGTTTTGCAACAGCGAAAAAACAACCAGCCATCAAACAATGCGAATAGCGCCACGATTGGGCTGTACAATGCTGCAAACCGTCACAAAATCTTGTTCTTGTTCCCCTATTATCTGTGGCGCATATCCACTTTAGCCATATTTGCTCATCGTCGTCAGCCACTGCATGAACAATTGGCAGAGCTAGTCAAATAAGTAGAAAATTTCTTACGTGTTATTAGAATGAATTTATCCATGCCCATGATTCTGTCCTTTGGAGCTTCTATTTTTGGGTTTGCCAGTGCGAAAGTCCTTGAGGCACTGCGAAATTATCTGAATGAAACGAAAAGACTAACATGCTAATAATTTTTTTTCTGTGTCGACATATGCTAAACTTCTTCGTTTTGTTTTCTTATTTAAGTTAGGTTTTATTTCAGGTTATTATCTAATACTTATACAAAATCTTTAGAGTAAGTACAGATCAGTGATCTTCAAAATTTCATTCTAAAATTTGTAACGTTTTCAATGTGTATGCTGCTTTACTCTAAGATTGAATAATAGTTCGTAAGACCACTCAATAACTAGCCGAATGCCCACAGTGGGTATGAGCAACAAGTGAAGGGCAACAAGCACAAGAACAAATTCCTTCCGAGTATTTAGCAGATACCACGCTTCTCAAAAGAATGACAGAAAATAGCATAGAGAATGCTGGCCTACTACCTAAAAGTTTATATTTAATACCCTTGTGGGTATCAGAAAAGTGTGCTTGCAGTAGTTACTCAATGAGTATTTTGAAAAGGTTCTAAAAGGCCACTGCTTTAACTTCCGCTATGACGGTGCTGCCTGGGCCTTCCGCGCAGGCCTGGTATTTTTTCGAACACTGCCGAAGGTGTTTCACCAAAAAAGCTATAACCGAGGAGAATAATGGACCACTGCCAAAACATGCGAATCTGCCCATTGTCAGGGTGCTAGATCATGCCGGAAACCTCAAGTCAGTGGGCGCAAATACAAGGTGTGACTACAAAAACGAATGAAGCTTTATATTTAGGCATTGCATATGAAATTGTGGACAAGTTTAGCTGTGACGGGACAAGTGTGGTGTACAATATTTCCTTCGAAGTTTGAAAAGAGTAATGCGCTGAGCACAAAAAAAACATTGACTTTAGTTTTGAACAACCAGGCGGCCCATGTGAAAAGCCTCCCTTACTTGCCATTCTCTAAATGTCTAAACTGGTTAGTCTCTCTTTTTGGAGCATGACCTATATACTTCTACAATGCGACTATCAGAGCACGAGGAAGCGCGTACAGTGGTAGCCACACTTTCTAAACAAATTCAAATCGCTCTCCTACGGAATCAACCAGAGCTATAGGAGACGGACATGCTTCTGTAATCAAATGTTGCTCATTGAAATAATTTATTACTAATTTTTAGAGAGGAGTTCAGAACATGCGATTTGAAGTAAATAATTGAGCTCGTGAAAGTACGGCGATTCGGCGCTGTGTGTATCAACCTGTGCGCGTTCTTCCACTTTTTAAATGTTTTCTTAGCCTTTTGTTATAACAGGCTTTGCGTATTTTTCATACTCTTTTTTTTGTTATTGATTTACTTTTTCAATAATTATGATAATTATGTATGAACAAAAAAATTGCAGATCACAAGTACAGTAGGAATCGATGATACGCGAAGGACTAATGATAGTGGGTGATAGGTCACTTTAAAATTAGCACAATGTTGAGCAGCGGAAGTTAATAATGTCGTACATGACTTCCATGCCATGATTATCAGGTTTGGACTGTTTATATACATTCGCCATTTATGAACGTCCCCTCATACCATCTTTGGTCTATATGGAGCTAGCGAAAATGGCCGTGGGCGTGCTATGAGCGTAGAATGTAGTGATGTTTTACTTTTCAATTTCATTTATTTTCATCCATTTTATTTTATTCTCATCAAAACAGAAACAATAGTGAAAATGGGGAGACGGCTAAAAAGCTGCATTTATTGCAGCTTGACTAATCACCATCCCCCCTACGCCTGCACTGAGAGGGTAAAAACGAAATAGAAAAATAAAATAGAAAAACCATGTACAATAAAGCAAGTAATAATACAAGCAAAAGGCAAAGTAAATGGCAGGCCAAGGTATACAAACGAAAAAGAATATTTTATAAACACATAAACACAATTATTCAGAGAGTGTGTATCATCGCTTTCGTACTTAAGAAAGGTACGCAATATGATTACACAAAAGAAATAAATAAAAATACATGTACACAAAAAATGATGCAAAGCAACACAGAGTGACATATGTAGGCAATACAAATCTACAAGAATAGTGTTTGCAAATCGGTATTGTTTAATTTGTCAATTTTTAGGCCTTGCTACTCATATGAGTTTAGTATAGTAGGTAGCATGTGGCTAAGCCTTTGGGTACAAATAATTGGTGCGAGATAACGGAATTTTCCACCGGGGTTTATATCGATGGAAGTAAATGGTTTGAGTACGTTCAAGATTAGAAAGTGTCAGAAATGCGTCGAGTTTCCTTCTGTTTGCGCTAATATAGGATTGTAACAACCTGGATTTGTATATGTCGTTTGAGTTAACAATTTTATGTTTAACAAAACATGAAATACATATCGTGCTTATTATATTTGGACGTGTCATTTACATTCATTGTTCCTTCACGT